CTTCCTCTAAGAACAAAGGACAGTAACAGAAGAGCTCTGTGGCTTCAGGCTTGATCGCCGTTCAAATGACAGCGTGGTTTCCCCAAAGTAGGGGGGCTGTAAAGTGACGTAGATCTTACTCACATCTATTATTCAAAACCATTCTATTTATTCTAACGTAAATTACATGCCAGTGTTTTATCTTTTATTTATTTTATTTTAAATCGTATAATGTCGGACTTTTTTTGCCGTCTGTGAGGAAAAGAAATGGGGCCTCAAAATACTGAAATCTGTATTTTTAAAAATCTTTTTCTCCTTCTAATTTGTTATTCTTTTCTAAATAACACACTGTTATTTACTCAACAATAACACACAATTATCCTTGTTTTTATTTATTCGTTTAATTCTATAATCTTGGGCTTTTTAGCCGTAAATAAAGTCACCGGAAACAGACGTAGCCCTATAAGGGACATTTCGAGCGATACACACCACAAACCCACTGAACTGATTACCCAAGATCCTCAGCTTGAAGCTCGTTGATGGATGTTTTAGCCACAATGCTGGTTGGGATATGATGTTAATGCGATATGATATCCGAAAACATTTTTTTTTTTTTAAATAATACTTTATTCCGAGTGTTCTTGCTTTTCTCTTTGGAAGTCATCACATAACGGCATTGTGATACACGGTTCGGCTGCATTAAATATTACACATCTGCCGTAGTTCTCTATTTATAGAGCCCTGATCAGAAGACTTCTGGACAAACAGGAGAACTGCTGCCAAAACTGAAAACGTGACGTGGATCATACTATATCAACAATTAAACAACATCTTACATTTATTTTCACAAAATACGTCTCCTTGCAGTATCAATAGTAATTCGGCTGACTTTTATATGTGATCCAATCGGACTTGTAGTTTTTAAAGATATTACTGATTTTCTTTTAATATAAGAATGTAAATACTGAGTTGAGAGAATAGTCAGGGGATTTGGGTGATGGGAGACACGTCTATGGAATCACAATTTCAATAGTTTACCATTAAATGAGACGGATATACCTTTCTGTCTGTGATGTTTTACAAATCAGATATTAATGTGTAGAAGTGAAAACATGAGAAATAGTATAGCAATATCCTGTAAAATTATGTAAAAACATGAAAAAACTACACATCTTCAGATGTTATACATACATAAGTGTCCTACACTAATAATACAAAGTTATTATTAGTATGCTGTGTGTACCTTGTGTGCACCGCCTAGTGGTTAAAGAACGTTATTGAATTATTTTTGTTGAATAATGTATTTTTGTTGAATAATGTTATTTGATGAAAAGAATATTTAATAGTACATACTTTCATAGGGGGAAAGTAGAAGGTCAATGATAGAAATATAGAATATAAAAAATCAAGAAGATACTGTAAGTGATCTCTACAATAAAACAGACAAACTAATTAACCTTTATAACACATTAAAGAATACTTTAGGTTAAGGTCTTCTTTCAAATAAGAAAAAAACTTTGGGGGTATCTATCTACAGATAAATATTAAGCCTGAAAAGTACTTAACGTCTAATATATTGCTTTCCTGCAATGTTAACTATGTCGAAGCACTTCTTTTTAACTGATATTATACTATTATTTATGTAGATAGTATAAGAAATGTGCAGAACTACAATTCCCAGTAGAGACGTGCCATAGAGAACATGTTGCGAAACACAATAGCCAGCATGTGTAGTTCTCGGGAGGCGTTCGAGTCCAGTTTGAATAGTCTGCCGTGGTTTCGTTCCATTTCAAAGAGCTTTGACGCTCGGCGTAACCTTGGCGCACTGCCACTCCAACATCCAATCCCAGAGCTTGAAGATTAATCACGGGGTTTGTCAACGGGACTGTAGTCCCAAACGATAGCTGGGGATTATGGGTAGTGTAGTGTCTTCGGCCATCCTAAACTCTGATTTTTTTTCCTGATATTATATTGCATTAACAACACATCCCAACGTGCATTGCCGCTAAAACATCCAGTCAGCGAACATGAAAACATTCCCAGTTAAACATGCAAAACAAATCGCTAAATAAAAAGATAAAACACTGGCGTGTAATTTACGTTAGAATAAATAGAATGGTTTTGAACAATAGATGAGAGTAAAATCTACGTCACCTTACAGCCCCGCCCACCTTTGGGGAAACCAACGCTGTCATTTGAACAGCGATCAAGCCTGAAGCCACAGAGATCTTCTGTTACTGTCCTTTCTTCTTAGAGGAAGTTCAGAAACACGTAACTCTGGATTTGTTTTAATGTTTGAGGTGCAACAAACGACACAGCAGCTTTTTGGCATGTTACAACTATTATTTTCTGCCTCGCTCATGAGAGTAACAGCTGGCGAAATTACAGCCTCGCCTACTGATTTCAAATGTGTGCTCTAAAATGATATTTATAAATGACTATTATCATTATTATAAGCAAGACAATAAATGGCAAAGATATGTAGAAAATAAACGCATTTGAGATACGTTCATAAGAAACGTAACGTGGGAGAAAATATGTTTCTAGCTAAACGTAATTGAGAATGCAGTTTAGTTCTGTGGGAACGTAATTTTAGGAGACAGGGTTGGCCAAACAATAGCTCAAAGGGAGAAAATCCTGTGGAGGACGGGGCACCTCCCGCACTGCAAACAACAGAGGGTCTAACCATTTATCCCAATTACGACTATCTTCGTGAACGAACTTACGAACCATGTTCTTTAGCGTTTTGTTAAACCGCTCCACCAGGCCGTCGGTCTGTGGATGGTAAACGCTAGTCTGGATTGAGTGGACGCCCATCAGTTCATACAGCTCGCGTAGTGTGCGTGACATAAACGATGTGCCCTGTTCAGTCAGGATCTCTTTTTGGATCCCGACTCGGGAGATTATATGAAACAGTGCCTTGGCAGAAATATTACGCAGCGAGGCAGTGCGCCTCGGGGTATCGTGTTGCATAATCCACTAGGACTAGTACAAAGCGATATCCCTGTGCACTCCGGTCTAATGGCCCGATGAGGTCCATACCAACTCTCTCAAAAGGTACCTCAATTAATGGGAGTTGTCGCAAAGGCGCTTTTGGGGTAGCCGGCGGGTTAACCAACTGACATTCACGGCAAGATGCGCACCACCATCTGTGAAGATCGGGCCATGATCCGGTGTAGTGTTTTGTCGTACCCTAGATGACCTGACATGGGGTTATGATGAGCGGCCTGGAAAATCATTTCCGGTGGCACTGGACCCAGTTCGCTGTCGATGTCGGGAGTCTTGCGACAAATTGCTCCAGTGCCACCTGCTCCACAACGTCCTCAGCGGAGTGTTGTCCCGGTCGGAGCCAGCGCCTCGCGGCATTGAGGAGCTGCTGCGCGTAGGAGAAGGGATGGCCGGCGTCCTCAAAGGGGATGGCCCAGAACTGGCGGCGATGCCCCTCCGGCGTGCTGCCCAGGTCCTTTAGGAATAGGAACCCTAGCAATCAGGTCAATAGCACAATGGACGGTGAGGAGGAAGAGCCAAAGCCTTGGATTTGCTAAAAACCTCACCTAGATCATGGTAGCAGGAAGGGACTGAAGGTAATTCAGGAGGATCTAACCTTTGGTCTGTTTCCTGCCTACAATTCCCAGTGTTGCTTCCCCTGTCCATCTCAACTGTTTGCTTTAAACAGTGATTTAAGCATTTCTTTCCCAACCCCTCCACCCTGCAAGAGTGCCAATTTATGTGGGGGTTATGATGTTTTAGCCAGGGGAAACCCAAAATGATGTTGGGCTGAGTTATAAAGGTGGAAAGACATAGCCTTGTGATGGTTATCATTTACAATAATTTCTAAAGGCTCCTCACCTCTCTCTCCTTTCTCCTCTCCTGTATCTCCAGGCTCCAGGGGACAGATGTGGTGATTGCCATCTTCATTATTGTGGCCATGTCTTTGTACCGGCCAGCTTTGTGGTCTTCCTTGTTGCAGAGAAATCCACGAAGGCCAAACACCTGCAGTTTGTCAGCGGGTGTGACCCTGTCATCTACTGGCTGGCTAATTACATATGGGACATGGTGAGAAAAGCCTGAGGTCAATACTGTACAAAGAATAATGCATGTGTAACTGAGGTTAGGGCAGTGGATTTTCTTGTGTTTTTAATAATTCAGTGTGTGTCTGCCCTCTCCTCAGCTGAACTACCTGGTGCCTGCAACATGTTGTGTGATTATTCTGTTTGTGTTTGACCTGCCGGCCTACACATCACCAACTAACTTCCCTGCAGTCCTCTCTCTCTTTCTTCTGTACGGGTGAGACCTTTGAGTGCACATCTTTACTTATCAGCGTTTATACCTGGAATTAACGGCTCATTATAGTGTAGTCTAGTGGACTTACACTTCTATTGAAGGGGCAGTTCACCACATTTAAAAAAAAACTGAATGGAATTTAGTTTGTGGTTAGTTTGTAAGTCAACACTTAATGAACGCAATATTAAAGTAGAACATCTTTACTGATATTCATTGTGTGATGGAAACCAAACTCATCAACCCAATGAGGGCTGGAATTAAAAATCAACAGAAAATCTAAGTGAAAAAAATTCAACAGGCTGTTCCAACTAACTTCAATCCAATCACGGCCACTTATCATAGGGCTCAGTAGTGTGTATGCCCCCATGGTCCTGTATGCACTCCCAACCACATCTGCTCCTGATGAGACAGCAGTTAGTGTCCTGATGGATTTCCTCTTAGACCTGGACCAGGGTAACTGCCCAGCTCTCCTTGTGTAATGGCCCCTCTCCCAATGTCTCCTCCACACTCTGGAAGAGCAACTATTATATAGATGTAAAATATATGAAGGTTACAAGGCCTTTTGCTTACCTCGCTTGTAACATCACTGTCAACTCTGAGTGGTTTAATTTACAGTCGAGGAAATAAGTATTTGATCCCTTGCCAATTTTGTAAGTGTACCCACTTACAAAGGAATCAACAGTCTATAATTGTAATGGTAGCTTTATTTGAGTAATGAGAGACAGAATATCAAAAAGAATATCCAGAAATGTACATCATATAAGAAAAAAGAATTTGCATTTAACTGTGGGAAATAAGTATTTGATCCCTTGCAACCAACAATAATTCTGGCTCCCACAGACCGGTTACATAAGTCCTCTTCCTTTAAGAAAGTACTCCTAATATCAACTTGTTACCTGTATAAAAGACACCTGTCCACAGAATCAATCAATCAGATTCCAACCTCTCCACCATGGGCAAGACTAAAGAGCTGTCTAAGGACCTCAGGGACAAGATTGTAGACCTGGGATGCGGTCGAATAGTCCATTTAGCTTAGGAACCTTCCTAACGGAGTGAAATGACCCGGAAGTACCTCAGTGGCAGCCATGATAAGAGCTGTTCAAATTCTCTAGTCTAGATGATAGGAAAGGAGATTTGAAACTTCCTTTATAACCTCCTTTAGCTTAGGAACCACTGGACCTTCCTTGATGAAAGGAGAGGAGAAAATGCTGTCCCACAATGCCTTGCGGCCGCAACATATACCGTGACACAACGTTCACGGAAACAACCGACCATGACCGAGAAATAATATCATGAAAGTTACGATATTTATTAAGTAATTTACAACGTATGTGGTAAGTTGCCAAAGTGCTTTGTTTTGAACGTTCAACACTATAATAATCAAAAGGAGAAATATGAACGTTAGTTTTTACTGAAATGATCAAATAAAGTCAACATCTCACAGTCTTTACTGAGCTGTGTGGGGTTTCTTAAACTTGTAATACATGTTTGAATGGTGATATACACAGTGATAGATGTTAAGGAATAAAACATTAATATCCACATGAATCCCAATACGTAGGATTGTATGAAAAGATCTTAATACAAATGTATTCATAATACACGTATTAACGTGTGGACCGGAGGGAGAGGGTGACGAACATAAGTTTAAGTTTCACTTTATTTTTTTTTTAAATTCCAACCTTGTTCATGAAGAATATGTTTCTCTGTTGCCCACGTTCATAAAGCATAAAACAACACCATCAGAGCACCGGTGCAGAGTCTCTAGATGAGTTTAGTCCGCCGTTCTTATTAAACATCCATGTAGTTCGCTGTATACAAAACTGTAGTTTTCCCCACAGCAGACGCACATTTATGACGTCCGCTGGCTCATCATAAACACGTTGAAGTGCAGTCGGATTCGCAAAGCACTGCAGTCTTTTTTCCTAAGTCCTTTTAAATTCTCCTATCCACTATCCCTTAACTGCGTGATGTTTCACACAGAGGTCAAGGAATAGTGGATAGGAAAAGATGATAGGAGCTGATTTTTGGACAATTTGAATGCAACCCTGCACAAGGCTGGGACTGGCTACAAGACCATCAGAAAGCAGCTTGGTGAGAATGAGACAACTCTTGGTGCCATTATTCAGGAATGGAAGGAAGAAACACAAAATGAGCATCAGTCGCCCTCGCGGGGGCTCCACACAAGATCTGGCCTCGTGGGGTTTGATGATCATGAGAAAGGTGAGGGGTCAGCCAGAATACAGGAGGAACTTGTTAATGATCTCAGGCAGCTGGGAGCACAGTCACCAAGAAAACTATTGGTACACACTACACCTTAATGGATCAAATCCTGCAGCGCCTGAAGGCCCCTGCTCAAGAGGAACATGAGAGGCCCGTCTGAAGTTTGACAATGAACATCTGAAGGACTCAGAGAAGGCTTGGGAGAAGAGGATGTGATCAGATGAGACCAACATCGACATCTTTGGCATCAACTCGACACGCCGTGTTAGAGGAAGAGAGATGCTGACTATAACCCCAGAACACCATCCGTCTGACGGGGGGTCAGCATGGAGGTGGAAACATTCTGCTTTGGGGTGTTTCTCTGCTAAGGGGACAGGACCACTTCCCTGCATCGAGGACAGGATGGACGGGGCCATGTACCATACAATCTTGGCCGATAGCCTCCTTCCCTCAGCCAGGACTCTGAACATGGGTCATGGAGGGGTCTTCCAGCAGGACAATGACCCTGAACATACGGCTAAGGAAACACAGGAGCTGCTAAAGAAGGAGCACATTCAGGTGAGGGAGGGGCCTAGCCAGTCTCCAGACCTTAATCCCAGGAAGGGAGCTGAAGCTTCCAGAGGCCAAGCATCAGCCTCAAAACCTGAAGGGTTTGGAGAGGATCTTCAGAGAGGAGTGGACCAACATCCTTCCTGAGATGTTCACAAACCAGGTGACCAACTACAAGAAGCGTCTGACCTCTGTGTGTCCAACAAGGGTTTCTCCACCAAGTACTAACACATGTTTTGCAAGGGGATCAAATACTTATTTCCCACCATTTTTATATTTTATATAATGTCAATTTCTGGATTTCTTTTTGATATTCTTACTCTCACTGTCAAAATAAACCTACCATTAAAATGATAGACTATTAATTTATTTGTAAGAGTGTAACAAACTAAATCTGCTAGGGATCAAATAATGATTTCCTTCACGGTGCATGATCTAAAATCAGTGTTTTTCCAACATCATCCTGTCTGCAGCAACGGTTCATCAGTATAAGGCCCTGGGTCTGAGTAACTGTATTCTTCCATGATATGGATTTTTGGGGAAAAGTGGTTTAAAGACAAGAAATTAGAGAAAGAGAAGGAGAAGAAGATTCAAGGCATCTCTCCTTATGTTTCTCAAGTAGAAACTTCAAAAGAAATGTGACTGCAGACCACACTTTCATTCTGATATTTGACAGCAAATAAACCCTGAATATAAGATCTGGAAAAAGTGCACCAGTGCAGACAGTGTTTTATTATAGTCACTCAACTAATGTGAAGTTGACCATATTTATCACAGAGGTTGAAGCTGGTCAAAAGTGAGATGGTGCTAACACAAGCTAGCTAGCTTTGTAAGAAAGGAAGAATTGTGAAATGTATTGGGATGCTAGTTTTAGTTAGCAAGAATCAGGCTTGTGCTTTAATGTACTTGTGGAGTGCTTGGAGTGTCTTTATTAGTACTGAATGATGAATAACATCTCGCAGCAATGCCATGGAATCGAGATGTAAATCAGAAGGTATTCCGGCCCTTCAAGCATACCCTGCTTTGTTGTCTTTTTATACTATGAACGGGACCATAATTGTGCTTATGAATCATGCTGTTTTTCAGACTTCTTGAATCTGGCCTTTGAGAATATGAACCAATACAGAAAAGGTTTATTGAAGTAATAAATCAGGTGAGGCTAGGGTCATTTTCTCATAGACCTCTGAACGTACTGACTTCTATTTGTAACCAATGCAGTCCATTACTGATTATTCAAAAAAAACGCAGGTTCGAGGCACTTCTCATTGACTTAGCGTTTTAGATGAAGAGGTGTCCTCTTAATTTAAAGTGAATTAATACGTCTTCATGTTTTTGTCTTTCAATATGTCGTCTCTTCTTCCAGGTGGTCCATTACTCCCATCATGTACCCAGCATCCTTCTGGTTCGAGGTGCCCAGTACAGCCTACGTGTTCCTTATAGTCATCAACCTCTTCATAGGCATCACTGCAACTGTTGCCACCTTCCTGCTCCAGCTCTTTGAACATGATAAGGTCAGTTTGACTATTGTTCCCTCAGCTTTGGTTGTGCAGTATTATCAGACGTAGTCTCACATCACTTCTCCACTATCTTCATGTCTTTAGGATCTGAAAAGAATCAACAGTTACCTAAAGTCCTGTTTCCTGATCTTCCCCAACTACAACCTGGGACATGGCCTGATGGAGATGGCTTACAATGAGTACATCAATGAATACTACGCTAAAATAGGTACACCTATAACGAAGCAATGTTTTTAGTTTCTCTCACGATTATTTAATGTGATTGTGAAGAAGTCCGAATAATTATTGTATGTGTTTGTGTGATACAAGGGACATAAAAAACAACATTTGAATGTACCATGATAAGGGCAAACAGGATGATGTTAGAATTTAGAATCATTGTTATTTCATCTTTTGTTGCCTATCATTTTCTTTTATGAAAATAATAATAATAATAACTTTACTAGCAAAATCTACTTTATTTGCAGAAATATGAATGAAACAAACAATTAAATAAGTATGTATTTTAGACAGTAACAAATTGAAATGCATAAACCTTAAGTTGGCCTCAACAAGGTGGACCTTTAACTATTTTACTTTTCAAACAGACAAATGTTTTTGAAAGAAAAGTAAAGAAGATATCAATCGTTATAAATGGTGTGCTTTCAGGCCAGTTTGACAAGATGAAGTCTCCATTTGAGTGGGACATCGTGACGCGAGGGCTCGTTGCCATGACAATCGAAGGCTTTGTTGGCTTCCTCATCACCATCCTCTGCCAGTACAACTTCCTCAGAAAGCCGCCGTGAGTCCTGTTTGTTTCTACGAGTGTGGGGAATGTCAGGATTTACTGTCACTCCTTCGATAATGTGTGTGTGTGTGTGTGTGTGTGTGTGTGGTGGTGTGTGTGTGTGTGTGTGGTGTGTGGTGTGTGTGTGGTGTGGTGTGTGTTGTGTGTGTGTGTGTGTGTGTGTGGTGTGTGCAGGAGGATGCCTGTCAGTTGCCAGCCAATAGATGATGACGATGTAGACGTGGCCTGTGAGAGACGGAGAGTGTTACGAGGAGACGCTGACAATGACAAGCTAAAGATCGACAACCTCACAAAGGTTCATTTTCATTTAATCGTTTATTTGAACCGGGACAGTGCACATTGATGAACACTTTAAAACAAAATAATGCTTACAAGTGTAAATGAGCCGGATTTTAGCTTTGAGCTAATTTCCATCCGTAGTCCCGTCACATACAACATATAAGAACGTGACATGTATATGTTAGGAAAACTTCTGTTATCAATGCTGAGCCAATGCTCGTGAAAGGAATGGAAGCTGGATTCGCCTTAGTCAAACATTGACATTTATTGAAAGTATATTACGGCCGGAGAATTCACAAGGTATATGCACAACTTCTTTGTGGGACACCAGGCAAACTCTGAAGCCAAAGGAGCCAGGAACACATCTATACATGAGAAGAGGAGGGCCCTAAAACACGCGGGTTTTCCTTTAATGCAAGCCAGATAGAGAGACAAAGACTGTTGTCTTGCAAACCCACATGAGCCAAGCTTCTCCCCCACAGGAAGTCAGATGACCTCTTGACCTGTGTCTTCCTGAGAAGTTACACACAGGATCACATTACAGGCAGGAATATATGCGGTTTACCAAAAAGCATTACTTTGTGATTAACATTTTTACAGAAAGACTGAGGACCTCTAAGTACACAGATCGGATTAAAATATTCTCTCACAGTCCTTTGTTTTTATCAATCTATTGATAACCAATTAACATTAGTCTAAAGAATATTTCAGTCACTACTTAAATCAATAAGCGTCATCAGAGTTTGTGTGGGCTCATATACATCAAGTACATCAAAAGTAAAATAAGATTGAAAACACTTCAATCACCATGATTGAACACAGTCAACTATAATAGAAAAATCATCTTTCTTCAGTGTTTGGCATCTTTTTGTCAAAAGCACAATAATGAACACATGAAATACAAAAATATAATAGCAGAATATATGTTTAAAAAATAAGACCTTTTATCATTTATCACTAAATTAATCTCATTCATCAAACACAAATTCAAATTCAGTTTACATCTCAAAGATTTACTTCAAGGCAATTACTTATTAAAACACAATTATAATTTAGGATTATGAGAAATCCAATTGAGGTATAAATCAGAATCATGAGAGATCCAGCTAAGATTCCCAGTTAAGGTATAAATTCACAGTGATGAATCGATCAATCTGTAATCTGTAAAATTACAGTGTCCTCAATCTTTAACATTACTTTACGTTTACTTCATTACGCTTTATTCAAGAGTAAGGCATGATATTTAATTAATTACATTACTTCAACTATCAATCATTATTGTCATTCAAAATCTGAAGGGAAAACTAAACAATTCTCAAAATGTTTAACAATCTGAAAAGGAAGAATCAGACATTTTATTGTATAACAACCTGAAAAGGAAAAAATCAAAACATCTGTTCTTTATTCAGAGTGTCAACTGTAATCAATTTCAATCGCTGAATCGCCTTGTAATCTGGTTTCCTCGTTGTACATTTTACCTGGTAATGATTAAGGATAGTAACATTGTCTGTTATAATATTAGAAATATCTTATTGTTCAATACCTTATAAATCTGAAAATATCAATTAATTAATTTGTTTAGTGTGAAAGTGTAATCTGATCTGACAAAATGTATTTATCACCACTATTTAACACATATCTGTTCATTGGGAATACAAAAACAATCATTAATTGTACATTTGTAATCATCTGGTCATTCAATTCAAATGTTATCTTTGTACAAGAGCTAGAAAAACATATCCTCCTGACTCGTTCTCCTCCTCTCTTTATGACACAGAATGTCTGGTGTGTAAAGGCATCCTGATACTGTAGATTAGCACTGAGGTGCTGATTGGCTCAAAACTCTTCTTCATCAGAGCGCCATAACTCAATTATCTGTAGATTAGCACTGAGGTGCTGATTGGCTCAAAACTCTTCTTCATCAGAGCGCCATATCTCAATCCCCCCCCAATTGCTCTGCTTTTGTGGCTCAATTCAGTGAGCACTTTATGATCTCCCAGTGAAACAGAGGCTCATCTGCCTGCATTCCTTCTGCTATCTGCTTGAGAGCAGAGCACCTGCCTATTCCAAATGGCACATCCAGATGCCTCTGAAACCATCGCTCGTCCTGTAGAGTTGTCTGCCTGAGCCCACCGAGCAGAAAGATGAAGAAGCATCCCATCTCATCAGAAAGTTGAAGATTAGAATCCTCTCATCTCGAACGACATCCTTGCCCGTGGATGGGTTGCTCTCTGCAGCCGCAGAGTGTGATCCTCTCTCTCTGACCCTTGGCCTTCAGAGCTGTCTTAGTTATTGGGTTAACACTTGATAGGGATGTTTTCCTGAGTGCAGACAACTCAAGGTAATGGATTAGCACATTATCATTCAATTACAAAAATAGGATAGGCCCCCTCAGAATGATTTGGGAGCCTTCCTGACACATGCACATTATAAATGTAAGGTTTGTGTTAGTCATTTAACATGCAAGAATCATATACTCATCAGTCCAAAGCAGAGAAATGTTATTTTAAGTTAAATGTGAGCTAGTCCCTGTGGAATAACCCTTTCTCAATGATTCTAGATGTTATATTAATTCACCATTTCCTCTTCCATAAAACATAGGTTTGAGAAATGAATGTTCCAATATGAAATCAATTGCTCAATATAATTTGACTCTTCCCTCCCTTTTCTTACATATTGTCACATATGAAATAATAATTTAGGAGTCTATTTAAGCATGGTATTGTCTATATAAGCTATTAATCGAGAAAACTCAGTCAGTATGCAACTCGCAAATATCTCTCCTCCTTCCTATCCCTCTCTTCCACATCTCCCTCTCATCTCCCTCTTTACTCACTTCCCCATCTCTTTCTATTTTCTCTTTCTCATCCCTCTCTCTTCCTCATCTCCCTCTTTACTCACTTCCCCATCTCTTTCTCTCTTACTTCTGTTAGATATGAAGTAAAACATACAAGTCCATGTAAGCATCTGAGTTACCACTGAAGGCATAGCATAAATGATAGTGGGCGTCTGAGGGTGTCATTACTGAGAAATGTCAAAGAAATTCAAAACCTTAAATTTGAAAACAGGTTTGCATTCCTCCACTGAAGGTGACGTTATCATTGGAAACAATAAAAACGAACTATTTTGATGTAGAATCTATAAATTGAATCGTTAGAGCAGAACAAAATGGTTGTATTGTAGCCTGAGTTCCGTGCAGCCTCTAGTTTCAACAGGTGGAAAAATGGTCCATATAATGTGAATACATGCAGAAGTAGACAGTAAGAGGCCCCTGACATTAGGCCTATTTTTTTTTTAAATAGTAGGGGCTCTTCACTCTGCATAGCAGTATGAATAGCCTTAAAAAACAAACAACCCACTCCGTGGTAACGAGAGTCATATTTCTGACCCATATGCCCTAAGTGAAGCCGTTAGTCTCATCTAACTGACCCAAGGGTTGGTGCTGGTGTGACAGTTCCAAGTGTTCAGAGCAGACGTCAAGCTTTCAGTTCATGGCTCGATGGGGGGGAGCAGACCCACGTGAGACAGTATCAACGGCTGTAAAGTCCAGTTGGAGGCTCGTCATTCTCTCTGGGAGCAGGAAATGGTGCCCATTCTCGGACCAAACCATTAATGTCATGTAGAGCAGCCATAGCATCTCTGTGACTGCACTCAGCCGGACTGCACTCAGCCGGACTGCAGCAGAGCAGAACTGGGTGACTCTTAGTGAAACTGTCCAAAGCCATAGACAAAATGGAACCACGTGCTAACAAAAAGGACACAGGGTCATCAATGTCTCTCTTTACCATTGGCCTAATCATAAACAAATTAGTGGGAAAAATGTGGAACACTAATCCATCATGTGGAATGTTGAGTTAATTTAAATAATTACTTATGGGTTGAAATCAAATTAACATTAACATTAGAACTAAAGTCAGTTAAAAAATTGGACATGCACGGATCAGTAATCAATACACCATTTTCCCAGCTCTGTGATGAAAAGGAGAACAAGCAGGGATGCAAACTTGTCATCTTTTGGTGAAATTTGCCGTTTTGAATCCAAAATAGGTCGTTTGTGTGATTCATGTAGATTCTGCAATAAAATATTATTGGGATATGGACAGGATTGCTAACTTTGGGTACCTGGCTGGAGTGAGATTTTGATATCATGGGTTTAATTACACACATGCGCAGGAAGTGACTGCTCTCGTGTCAGTAGCGGGACCTTAGCATATATTTAGGATATATATATATAATATATATACAAATACACAATATTGGACACAGACTATAAAGGGCACACAGTTTCATTCACTAATGAAAGTCAAACACATGTTTGTTTCCACTGTTTTATTGTGTGCCTGTCGCGATAAGCAATTAATTGACTTATCGGCTCCCGAGTATTTGTGTTGGATAATCTATGGTAGGGCTAACCCATACAGTGGTGGGGCTCAAATCAGCATTTGAAATGTAATTACATACACGCTATATCGCCCCCTTGACAGTGAAACGCCACGCGTGAGGTTTAGATTATTTCCCTGTCTCAATCCAAATTGAACTGTATGAAATAAAAAGGCACATTTGTCTTGTAGTAAATAAAAAGGGCGACCTGGAGCCAATCCTGCAATTTCCTCACAAGTGAAAGAGTTGACATGCTGAAAACCCAACCCCCGCTTGGGGTCTGGGGGGATTCTCCCCCAGGAGATTTTTTGAAATACTAACATAAAATACACATTCTCTCTTGAGATGAAAAATAAATCCATCTATTACTACACGACATATTTAAATGAAGCTGAACCTGCTGCTCCTCACAGAGGGAAGAGGCTGTGTGAATTACTTTACATTGTGGATACGGGTGGATAGCCCCCATTGTTCTGTGTGTCAAAATGGAAGGTTTCTGGCTAACGTTAGCTTAGGTACTCAGATCTTGTTCTTGAGTAAAAGTAGAAGTACCAGAGTGTAGGAATACTAAGTTACAGTAAAAGTACTGCATTCAAAATGTTACTCAAGTAAAAGTATAAAAGTATTGTCATCAAA